GAGGCGCCCGGCGGAGGACGGTGGGGTGCGGGGAGACCCCGCAAGGGCGGAGTTGGGCCCTTCGGGTTCAGCGGATGGCCGATGGTGCAGTCGCTGCGGGGCCGCAGCACCAGCGAGGTTCCGTCTCCTGTTCCGTTATTTTTGCCATTCCTTTACTTCCTCTTTTTCCTTATTTCTCCCATTCCGTTATTTATTTCCCCTATTCCGTTTCTGACAGAGCAGTGCGGACCCGTGAAGGATGGCGGTCAGAGTTTCTTTCCACCGTGGCAGATATCAGCAATGAATAACGTCACATAGAAAGAGGGGAGTACCTTTTTTTCCCCCTTTTAGGGCTTTTTTTTTTTTTTAGCCCAGGCACACCTAAATGCCATCTATGCAGTAATCTTACAACAAGATGGAAAAAAAAAAAAAAAAAATCAAGATAGAAAGAGCACCTGACATCTGTCCCCTTGATAACCGAAACTTCTCATTACTCAGTTCCCTACAACCAGACCAAAGTTTCAGAGAGAAAAAAAGGAGTATTTGAAAACCTCCCTGAGCGCATCTGAGGTACATACATTAACTCTCCCGACTGTTTCCCTTTACCAAATTGCATCTTTACAGGGACACGGGCATCTCCTGGCTGGAGCCCGCCTGTCACCAGGGTTTGCTGCTCCCACTCCTCCTCCGCTGCCCCTTGGCTCCGAGCTCAGGAACCCGAAGCCTGGTAAATTAAGCAGCCACCGGTCCCAGCAAGAGGAGCTCTGCATAGAACAAGCACAGGTGTCTTTTTCAACAGGTGCAGTTTTATTTATAAACACTCCTGTCCCACCTTCTTGTGGAAAAAGGCATGTCAAGCAAATATTGAAGTGAACTGAAACAGAGCCGGAGCACACAACTTTACTCACTTGTTGGTGATTGATTTGGGTTGTGGTAGATCTGATGGCAGACGAATCTTAATTGTGAGCCCTTTTTTTGACAGGCTCAGCTTCTCCCCATAGTCACCTCTGGATCAGAATTTTCCATATTTGCTCTTGCACCAAAGCTTTGTTTTAGCTTCAGAGTAAGACACTTCCCAAACCTGTCCGTGCCAATTTTCAGATATCACCTCCCCTGGATACGGGCCTGTATGAGAGAGCAACAAGAATAACGTCGGTTTGGTCAGCAAGGCACAGCATTCATTTAATTCGTTAGCCACACCTCGGTGGAAATTCTCACTTTAAAGTACAGTCCTCTGCTGATCAGGCTTTGAAATCTTTCTGCTTAGTCCAACCAGTTTTTGTGTGAAGTCCATCCAGAGAAGTCTGCACTCATTTTCTGTGTGGTTAAAATTCAGATACTTTTGCTAGCATGACTTACAGAAACTCAGGCCTTCCATGTGTCCCTGACCCTGACGGTTTCCATCCAACTGCCCTCAAAATGTAGCACCCTCTTATTTTTTTTTAAACCTGTCCTTTCTAAATTAAGAGTCATAAAACCAGACCAACTTCCACTTAGAGTCACAGTGATTTAAATGGAATTGACATGTTGTCTGTCAATCCAATGTTAATTTCTAAGAGCAAGAAAGAAATAGCATCTACAGACTTTTAAACCTCCTCCAGGACTCGCTGAAAACATCATCCACTTCTGGTGAAGGTGGAGATGACCTCCAATGATGAGTCAGTTCATCCAGTTATCAGGAACTGCTGAAGCCAAACCACAGCAGCTTGCTGTGAAAAATCACTGGAATCACCGCTACCAACATGATAATCAGTGACTGCTGCCAGTCTAATTTAATCCACCACTTTCTCTGATTCCGAGTGAGAAACGAGGAGAAAAGCACACCATAGGACAGACTGCTTATGGATGGTGTGTTATCTGGAGACACTCTGTGCCCCAGTACAGCTGTCCTCCTCTCCACTCCTCACCCAGCATAGCAAGGACACACAAAGACACAACTATTTTCCCTCCCTTCATCCACACACCTGCCCAGCTTTTTACCTGGAAAATCCCGGCTCAGCATGTCCAGGGCCAACTGGAGGCACAGGACAAGTGCAAGGAGACTGACACTACAAGGCTAGGGCCCATTTCCTTTCTAATTTTTAATTATTCCTCCACCAGCCTCTGCCTTGCTGTGAAGTTGGGAGTCTAGCTCCCCAGTCAGCCCCAAATTTAAGCCTGGGGTGATGGTTTCCCAGCCTCCTGCCAAACTGCCCCAGTTCCTTAACGCCTTCTTCCCGAGATCATTTTCCGGTAATTGAACATGTCACACAGTAAAAAGGGGATAGTCCATAAAAGTCACAGTCCATAAACCAAGTATTCCCCTAAAGAGCTAACATTCTAGATAGAAATCCACAGAGACGTGCAGGTGGCTGCACGGGACTTAAAATAGCTCCCGCGGCACCACGTACAAACCAAAGGGACTGCATGCAGACATGTAGATTTAGCAACCGAAATTCAGATATGCTGAGCACCAGCAGTCAGGGAAAACCACCGAAATCAACAGAATCACACAGAACGTCCTTCTGCTCAGTCTCTCCCTTTATCAGTGCAGTTTGGCAAAAGAGACCAGAATCAGCCTCTTTTGCGTGTGCTTTATTCTGCTGCCTGCATCCCCCCTTCTTGGATATTTCTAAAAAATCTTCTATTCTGTTACTAAAATGGTGACTGAAACAAATAGCGCTTTAGATAGACACTCCTACCACCCCATTGTCAGCCAGCTTTATTTTTAACCTTCTGCCAAAGCTGGGGCACAGGGAACATCTTGCTGCTGCTTTGGAAGAGAGCTCCAAATAAAACTCTTGGCGATATTATCTGGGGAGGAGGAAACAAAACCAAACCTCCTGAAGTTGGAACCATAGTGAGAAAACGAGGTTTGTAAAGAATCACAGCATAATTTGATGCTCTACTTGGAGCTGGGCTTGCACCCATCATCCCCCACCACCTCCAAGGAGAAGCCTGGTGTGCGAGCGCTGCTGATGCAACACAACAGCTCATTGCATCATGCAACTGCTGCATGAGATGTTTGCACTGTGAGAAAAAGCTCAGAACACAGATTTTGGGGTCTTTGAGCAGCTCTAGCATTAGGGACCAAGGCAGAAAGATCTGCAGAAAGGGAAGACAGCCCAGAAGGTAAATAGTGGCCCTTTCAGGAACCGGGATGCCTGGCAGCGTTGCCTGGTGGCTTTAGCTTCTTTGAGAAGTTGGCAAGAGCAACCAACCCCAGGGAGCCAAGTAGTGGCGTGGGCTGCATGAAAAGCCTGTGTCTGGTCAGAGGGCTGGTGCTCTGCTGCCCGAGGAAAAGGTGGAGAACACAGGGAGATTGAACATGTGCTGCTCAAGTTAATTGAGAGAAGGCGGTAGAAATTCAGGATGCGCTGGTCCAACAGTGTTGGCTAAGAACAGGCCTGCCAGCATCATGCTTTGCTTTGCCTCCCTTTTTGTCCCCGATGTAGGTGTTTGGAGATTTGCTACAAAGTGCTATAAAAACTGGGCTTCGCTTAAGAAGTGGCATTTCCTTCGCAAGAGGCACATAAACATGCTACATAGCGCTGGACATTGCAATGTTTGTTTTTCAGAGTTACACAGGTGATCCCAAATCTGGGACCAAAAAAAAGCCCAGGTCCTCTCTAGTGTTCCCCCTCTTCAGGTAATGTCTGCTTGCCCAATACCTCAGGGAGTTCACTTGGGACCTGCCTCTGACCCATTCATACAGCACAAATCCCACGGAGCCCCTTCTCCATTCAATAAGCAAAGAAACTCCTCAATGCAGCGGACAGGACTGGAGGAAGAGCTCAGCTTTGGCACAGACCTGCTGTTGCTTCATACCTCTTTTACCTCTCCCCTCTCCCATCTTCTCAGCTTTGCCTGCAAGCTCTTTGGGGGCAGGTCAAACCCTTAATCTGAGTTTGCAGACGATCTGGTGCAAACTCAATTCTGATCTTGAAGCCTGAAGTGTTTTTATGATATAAGTCAAGTGATCTTTAAGTCCGATTTCTCTAAAGTCGAAGGCAGAGCTGTGACCATTGAGCTATCCGGACACTTTCTTCCCTCACACTCCTCGCCCCCAGGTGGGACAGTGCCGCTTGCCCTGGCGCTAAGATGTCCCCTAAGGACCAGGATGGTTTTGCACTCAGCAGCTTCATTGCTTGTTGGTGATGAAGAGAACAAAACCGCACAGTAATAGCGCAACCCCTTGCCCCCCTTCACCTTTGAAAGCTTTAAGCATGCCTGGTTTCAGTCCCTGGCCACATTTTCCACTGTGTCAGTGCTAGCCGGTGGGGCTGTTTATTTTAGGAAACGAAGAGCTGTATCATTTGCACACGCCCTTATAGGCAGGCACAGGCTCTCCGCTCGTGTTCTTCAAAAGAAGAGAAGGCAAGATGAAGAGCTTTTTGTTGCTGTGCGTGGCCCTGGCCGTCTCCTTGGGGTTCGTCCTTGTGGCAGGTAGGTGAGAAACGAAGAGCATGGAAAACTGCTTAACTTATCAGTGGCGGGTTGTGTAATCAGCCATTAATTATGCTAACAGTCAAAAATATCCAACCTCAAAGGCTGCTCAGGGAGTCGTACCTCAGTGGTGCTTGGACGCCTCAGTGTCTTTCTGCATCACAGACCTGCGTGGTTTTAATTGCTGCCTTGAGGCTAAAGAAGCCGTGACTAGCTGCAAATTTAAGACTTAATGATTAGCCATTTTTGATCGGGTTCCTGAAGCGACAAGCCACAAACATGCATGCTTGCTTTTCTGCAGTGCTAGGAAGCTTGCAAGACTCTTACCTGCTAGGTTTGAAGGCTTCTAAAGTCTTCCCGGCAATCCTGTCATATGGCTACAGCCAACTTATTTCTTATTAAACTGTAGTTTATCACATAGCTCCACTGAATCTCTCGGAGACCCTTGATTTAGACTGAGTTCAGACTGTCATGCCAGCACACTCCTCAGTGTGGTTTACAGGTAACAGGTACTGACTGTACTAATGCCAGATCTCTGTACGTCAGTCTAAAGTCATCCTCACTCACGTGGTGGATCTGGCCCGCAGGATTAAATCCATGCTGAAGGATAACCATCCCAGCAGCACAGACGACAGCATCCCTGGTGTTTCCTCCAGCTTTCGGGAAAGGGCATCTTATTGCCTAACAAGGCAGGTCCTTGAAAAGTACAGCTTGCTAATCTGAGAGACCAGCTGTATAATCCATTAGCTGAAAAGGCAGAAAATAAAAAGCGGAAAAATACCATGTCAGGGTTTTTTTTTGTTTGGTTGTTTTTTTGGTTTTTTGTTTTTTTTTTTTTTTTTTTTTTTTTTTTTTTTTTTTTAAAAACAGAGCCCAGTCTGGTTTTCCCCATTCATACACATCACTTAAGATATAGATGCAGACGTAAGCAGAATAGAGGGGAAGTCAAATCTGAGTTACATGCACCTACAAGAGTACTGTTTTTACTACTTATGTTTAAATTAATATATTTTTGGGCTAATTCAGCCTCTTCCTACTTTATTAGTCACTTGCACCAGCAGCAGAGTTTGAACAGGTATTTATGGAATGCATTTGCTGCAGCTGAGTTTTGTTGGGCTTTACAGTGTATTATGGGACAACCTGATATTGAAAGAGGAGAAATTTGGTCAAAATAATCTGAGTGTTGAGGAGGGAGAGAACACTATATTGCAGTAAATCATGCACCAGAAATTCCAACCAGCAGCCATTTAGAAGGGCATTTGAAAATTTTTTATCTAAGTACCCTCTCCCCGAAAGGACTTGACTGGGTGTTACGTGGAAATATTGCTGACAAAACTATCTTTTTTGCAGCTTTGTAGTTTTACTTTAAGAAAATATATGGAGTACCTATGTCTAACTTTTACAGTTATTGAAGCCAAGAGTATTACACAAGGAATTAAATCAGGACAATATTTTTAGAGTACAGTCAAAACCCCGCTGTGTGTTCATAAAAGAGCATATTAATGCAATTATATGAGATGAATTAAAACCTGCTCCCAAAGGTTTTGGGGCAAATCCCGAAGCCAGTAAGATCTGACTTGAACATTGGCTTTGGATTAAGGGCTTAGAAAGAATTGCACACAACATTACCTAGAATACAGTGACAGACACCGGAGGAAGCTGCATGTGAAGGATAAGAAACCGGCGACTTTAAGAAAAAAATGAAGGGCAGGACTCAAGGAGGCAGAGACTCAAGAGGCTTTTCTAGTAAGCTTCTGCTTCAGAGGGAAATGGTCACATCGAATGATGAGTTGCAGAGAGGAAGCAAGCAGAGCAAGAGAGACTGGAATAAGGGGTATAAAGAGACAAGCACTATTAAACGCCAAATAACGACCATCCCCATGTGTCAGATGTGATGATGTATTTCTGCCTTGGCAGGGCACCCTGCCATCAGAGGAATGACTGGACTGACGCTCTATGTGCACATTTTGCAGCGGCTTTTGTACCGCTGGCCAGTTGTGCTGAGTGCTATACAGAGAAATGCTAAAAGCCGGGGCTCAGTGGACACACACTGCAGTGGGACATGGTGTAGAGGGATAATGAAAACCATGAAAGCGGTATGAAGGGCAACATCTCCTACACGCCTGTAGCAGCTCGCTCCACCACCTAATGCAAGGGAGCGAGGTAATTCCCTTCCCGATGGAGAAAATACATAGTGAAACCTTTTCAGAAGATATTCTGCTGCCAGTTGTCACAAAACCAGCATTTTTAACCAGCAGGTGAATTTTACGGTCACTTTGAGGCATAATTTTATACAATTTCGGTGTATTTTTCATAGTCACAGGGCCTGTAAAGATCTCAGAAAATAACCCAGTGGAATGGAAGCAGCATATTGTAGGGGCAGGAAGCTTCCATGCTTTGATAACTCGAAGAAAACCAGCTGTTAGGACCAAAGCTTTTAAGTCAAAGTGGCTCTAAAATCTTCCGTAAACATGATGGATACAGACACTTTTAGCCTGTTTCTTCTTTCTCTCCACGGTTGAACCAAGGGACAAGCCAATTGGTGAGTCCCCAGAACCGAGGTCCACCTGAGCCCCACATTAACTATCTCCATCTTTCAAAAATCACTGGGTTTGGTAGTTTTAAGCAAGCTGAAGGTGCTGTAGACAGAGTGATGCTGCAAAGTGATGGCCGTGAACTTGATTTTAGCAGGGTTTAGAAATACAGAAGGATGTAAAAACAACCACTTAAGAAAGGTCTGACTGTGTGTGCATATTAAAGCAAGGCTGGCTTATTACGGGTGAAGAGACCAGAGGTTCTGGGTTGGGGAAAACCAACTAGCAAAGCCCAAGCTATTTCAAATCCATCTATTTGCACGGTAAGTAGGCATTGCATGCCACCAAGAACATTCAAAAACCCTCATCCAAACCTCAAAAAGCAAACATTCAAAAAGATGTGATGGTTTGCCCTGTTTTGACCAAGTTTCATATTGATTAACATGCAAAAAGTACAGGACATGCAGGCAACGTGGTTCTTCTCTATTTGGGTAAGGTCCTCAGCTGCCAAACTCAACTTCAGTGTCAACAGAAGACCAGAAAATCAGGACTGGAGTTTTTCCTGCAAAGCACAACCATCATAAAGGCCACTTACCTTTCAGTGCCAGGTCACCGGGCTGCCTTCTTGCTGGGTCCTTTGGTGCTTTTTGGCATCTCATCCCTTAGGGACCTGAAGGACAACATACCCCTCAAGGCAAACTGACGCATCAGCCACATTGGCAAGGTCAGAGACATTTATGTAAAGGCCAGATCCTAGGATTTGGAGAATAGTCCTGGTGCATGATAAAGGAATTGGGTAACCTCCCCCATTAGGGCAAAAGCAGTGCTTCAGCTGCCAGCTATAGCTCGAGGCTTTCAAGGGGACTTTCTTGCCACTTCATGAGAAACCCTTCCATGTTCGCCCCTCTCTCCAGCAAGACAGTGTCCAGGCTCATTGTTTTCTCCTTCCCAGTCCCACCACCTCCACGTACAGAAGCATACTGTAGGCTGAGCAGGGAAGGCAGCTGAACTTATCTTTGCCAAGAGGCTCATTTGTACCTGTTGAAACCTGGAGTTTTATCAATCCAGACGCCATGAGGGTTCATTTCTGGCATTCTCATCACTTTGGCTTTCTGCTAGAGCAGGTTTCAAGGTTTTTTATTCCTGACCCTGGGATTGTATATCCTGTGCTCGCAGGTTATCCACGGGACCCCGAGGATGAGGAGTACGTGCTGGTCAATAACAAGTGTCAGTGTGTAACAGTGACCTCAAAGTTTGTCCCCTCAAAAGAAAATCCCGATGAAGAAATCCTGGAGAGAAACATACGCATCCTGTAAGTGGCAGACAAGTATTACATGGAGATGGTGAACAGGAGATGAAGTGTTATAGGAGTTACCTTTGCTTTGCGTTGTCTCTCATGTCCTGGCATTGATCAAGTTAACTGTCTTTCCCACGGGCTGCTTTCTGTGGTATCCTGGAATATTTCCTTTTGCTTCATGTTTTTCTAGCTCACATGGAGCTATGTGGTGTTTGTGCCTTCTGATACAAAAAGCATCTCCATGTTTTAAGTGGTCCAGGAGTAACGTTACAAAATAGGCTGGGGAACTTGAGTGCAACATTTCTACAGCTGATCTAATCTGAATCCAAACCGGGCCCATGCCTACGCCACTGGACTCATTTACCAATCCCATAGCAAGGCAAGCCTGCTGCTTTATAGGCTGTTACATTTTACTAACTATAGCATTATTGTTAATGCCTAAACTATCAGCAAACATTAATTCTGTGAGGCAGATGTCAGTTCAAGAGTAGGGTTTTGTCCTCTTTATTGACACAAACCTTACAGAAGTGCGTCTCTTTCTCTTGGAAAGATGGACCAATTTCAGGCTCAGAGCTGCAGGAGTTCTGGCAGAGTTTACAACCGGAGAAACACTAATTAAACATCTCTGTCTATGTCCTGCAAGTCTCTCAGGCATCTGCCAGCTCAGAGTTTGTTGGTTTTGGGGTTTTTGTGGTTTTTTTTTTTTCCCTAAAAAAAAAAAAAAAGATTATCAGCACTGTCACCTTGAAAGTGGCACTTTGAGAAATTGCTGTAGTCCTCTCAGGAAAGGTTGTTGCCTTTGGGGGCACAGGAAGGCCAAGATCTGCCACTCCTGGGCTTTGCTATGGAGGAGGACTGGAATGCAAATAACCTGAAGAACAAGATGAGAGTTGAAAACTGTACACATCAGAATAGTCCCCTGTTTAATAAGCAGGTTTAATGGCAGCAATTCTCTTCCTTCCTTTGCAGAGTCCCCTTGAAGGCTCGAGAGAACATCTCTGACCCCATGTCCCCACTCCGAACCACTTTTGTCTACCGCATGACTGAACTGTAAGTAGTTTTATTTACTAAGTTCATTTCCTAACACTTAACCTCCCCTGCAGCATTGCCCACAGCAGCTCAGAAACATGCTTGAAGGGCAGTAGAGAAGGTGAGGGAGGGCCACAGAGGGAAGTTCCCCCCTGGAGCGTAGCTTTCGTATTCTGTTGCAAGCCAAGAAGTTATCTCCGTGATTAATTCACATAAAAAGGTCTCCAGTTTGGAGGGCATGTTTCATTCTGACCCCTGTTCATCTCAATGTCTAAAATATCAGCAAATTACACATTGCCTGTTTAACCCTCTCTTTTACGGACCAGTCTTGCCAACCGCAGTGTGACAACACTAAAAGCATCTGGATGGGAGTTCCTATGTAAAACCTAGAAAACCTATATTTGCCAATTAGCAATGAAGATTTGGGTTTTACCAGGGGCATCTTTTCATCAAAACTCTTAACACTTAATCTATTCCCTATCTCTTCTAGCTGCAAAAAATGCGATCCCGTCGAAGTTGAGCTGGGTGGTGAGATATACCAGGCCCAGCAGAGCACCTCCTGCGATGAACCTGAAACCTGCTATACCTACGACAGGGACAAGTGCTACACCACAACCTTCCCATTCCTCTACCACGGGGAGACGAAAAATGTTCAAGCAGTTCTGACGCCAGCATCCTGCTACTCTGATTAGCTCAAGCTATTGCTCTACTAATGCCTCGTCGCAGTCAGTGTTCCTAACAAAAATTTATGTATAGTACCATAGTACCTGGACAACAGTGCCCAAAATATCAGCTCCCAGAGTAATGCCGACTTGCCTTTACATACTGTTTTCACCATCAGACTAGGGCTATCTCCCAAGAGCAGCTACTGGGTGTCATAGGCTCTGTTCTCGTATCCTTGGCATGTATCTGCAGTGCCATTGTTAGATGTCTCAGACATTATCACCATATAGACCAGATCCTCAGTAGATGTAAATCAGTAATTCCCTTGAAGTCAAGGGAACTACAGGCATTTACAACACTGGGGAACCTGTCTTGTTGTCAGTCTTCCATCGGTCTTCGTCTGAGCAAGGCTGCCACCGGCATGTCCTTCCCTCCCTTTGCAATCTAAAGCAAACCTCTGCACAACCTTTATACTAGACCCTTTGATAACATTAGCAGACTTTGTGTCGTTACTAGACGGCTGTTGTACCATCATATTTGAGAGAAAAGAAGAGACTGAGAATTCAGATTTCAAAGTTGCTTTCCAACTGGGTATTCTAGACCCTTCTAGCACGCTGACGATTGCAAGCTTCTAGTTCACACGTACGTTTAGAGAAGATCCAAAGATGCCACTACCCTGAAGTGTTTTGCAAAGTTGCCAGGAGCTCAGCTGTGCCAGGAATAGTAAACTCTTCTGGGACATGTTCAGTATTTCCCTTTCCGTGCTTATTTATTCATATTGCTGCCTTCTTCCAATTTTGCTCCCAGTTCAACTAATGTAAAAAAAACAGCCCAAGTTGGCTCAAAGTCATTTTCTTTTTTCTCATTAGGCTTCAAGAAATTAGGAAGGTGAGTCAATTGCTAGAGCAGGACCCTAGTTAGGGATTAATTCCTTCTTTCACCCGTAGCCTTTTCTCCTTCATGCAAGAAACTCTCCCCGAATAAAGGAGCTGATTCTCTAATGCACCTCACATTTAAAAGCATTACACCTGATATTAACCAAAGAGTCATGATGTATGTAAGCATATAAGGTGTCCAGCATTACATTCGGGATGGTTGGTATGTTTCTCACTGTTGTCCGAAGTTGATCGTAAAGCCTTTAACTGTTCTTAAAAGTCCTTATCTTGCTTCACACATAATTGGAATACTAAAACAGCAAAAACCTTATTCCCATAATCGTAGCTTTGGTAGTGAACCATTGAATAAACTTATTTTCTGCAGCAGTCTGTGTGTTATATTCCAGTTCAATATGAACAGTTAAGACCAAGCTAAGTCTATCATCGTATCCTTTCCTCCTTTGCAGTGAAGTAAGAAGCTCTTTGTAAATAACTGCTTATACTTAAAAGCAATACTGAGATTTAAGTATTATAATGCACTAGCAGATACTATGACAGATTCAAGTTTATGATTTTAGGATCAGCTTCGCCTCACTGAGCTGCTTCAAAGCCCTGTGAGTCAGTGCAGGTTCAGAGTTTAAAAATCCAAACATCACCTAAATCACTCTCTAAATTGCAATCCACAGAGCAGATTTTTTCCTCACCACTGAAAAAAGTGCCTTTAAGACAGGTCTGTCAGGGGCTAGTCATTCTTATGCAGGGCATCTGTCCTAAGCATAAAACAATCTTGGGGGGGTCAATTTTTGATGACCAAAAGCGTAAAGAGGCCTAAGTCAAATTATTCTAATGTTACATAAGAGTTACAGAAAATGAACCCTTTTCCAACAAACTGTGAACAATTAACTGCTTAGATTATTTTGGGCAAAGCAACCAGCCACTGGTAAACAAAAACAAAAACAGCATTGAGCAAGTTCCCCATGTGCTATTCAGCTTTGTAATAAGTCAGGACTCATTCCCCCCATTTTCTCTGAAAGGGAGAAGCCTACATCGGCAGCCCTGCCCACCCCTTGGTACTGGATTGTGTTTTACCCACATTTTATATACCTCAAAGCAACACAGCAAGTTAAATCAAGCTCTGAATCCTTACCTGAAAGGCCAGGACAGTAAAATAGGAGCAAGTGAGGTCTGCTTATCCCTGAGAGCATACTGGGGAGGGTCTGGGACCTTCTAGACAGGTGAAGAGGTGCTGTCAGATGACAGAAATTCAGCTTGCTGGGGATTGTCTTTTATGTGCTGAGAAAACCATGTCCTGCTTTGAAAGATCTTGTTTCTCACTACTACCAAGTGGGATGTTTTGGTGAGTCCTGATGTTGGGGGTAAGAACGCCTCCCTTGGTGTGCACTCCTCTGTTTTGTGTTAAGTGACTATGGTGGGACAAGGCTTCCCGCTTGCACTCGCAAGACTTTCCTGCCAGCTCCTTCTTCATCTTCACAGGTCAGATTGGTTCTTTAGCTTCATTCCATGTTTCTTGGATAGTTTGTCTTAGTGCATTTATGTGAAATTCATTTTGTCACAGCCTCGTAGGAACACATATCTATTTTATCACCTCACAGACTCCTTCTAGGTTTAATTCTTCCCAGGCTTGTCCTCCTTGCTTAAATACTGTTCTGTTGCTTATGCAATGTTGAGTAAAAAAAGGATTTCTCACTAGGCTTTTCAGAAGTATTTTAAAGCATGGAAATCTATCCTCATAATCCTGTTTCCAGTTTGACAAAAAAATTTAATTAGCAGCAGAAACTACAGCACAGAGCGAAGCTGAGCAAAACAAGTCCTTGGGCTCAAAGACATTGTTTTACAATAGGGAATTCAGCAAAGAAAGCAGCTTATGACCATAACCAACCAGGCAAAGCTGCAGTTTAACTCCCAAATAGGCCAAAAGGCTATGGGACAGCCCAGTTGCTGCGCTACAAAGGCTTCGGCTGTCTGAAAGTAGGCATTTTTGATGTAGCAATAGCTAACGGGCCCTCACTATATTAAGTCTTTTCTTGTCAGTGCAACGTTTGGCCATGGTGGGGTCTTTCTGCAGAACAGTGCTGATTTGTACACTCCTGGGTGGAACGCTTTATGTTTTCAGTAGGTATATATATTACAGCCAGTTAAGTCTTTGAGAATTCGGTGATTACTTATTTATATTCTGTAAAGCAGTTAGCACAGTGTGGATGCTTAAAAAATTAAGTTTTTGGACCGGTATCTGTGACTAAGCCAGCATGTTACAGCACACTACATCATCAATGCCTTCTAGCCAAGCCCAAGCACTGCTAAGCCAGCCAAGTTGTTCACGCCTGAAATTTGACAGACCAAATCTAATCTTCAAACTATCCTGCCATTTCAAAAGTAACTCAAAAAGTAGATTTAAGTTTATTCTAATCTAAGAATAGCCTTTTAGGAGCAGATCTGCCACTAGTTTCCATTCATTTTTAGACATTAGAAATCTGTATTAATTCATGGTGATGAAAGAACCTTCTCTTGTTTTTTCATATCTCTTTTAGATACTTTGTTGGAGGCTTTGGATGTCTCCTCTGGAGCTCTACTATCATTTCCCCCAGCCAGCATTTTCAGGAGGAACTGAAACAAAAGATTAAACATAACAACGATTAACAGCCTCAAACAATGCAAAGCGATTGAAGAAAGATTAAAAAATGCAAAGAGATAGGGTCAAAAATCCAGTGCACATATTGGTCAGTTGCAGCTCTTATGATAGGAGATCAAACTCAGTGAAGTCTCTTTTTGGGCATTCAGAGATTGAAATCTGTTTTGCACCCACAGTTAACACATCACACTGGCTTCCACACTTGCTGATGACATCTAAGAACATCAGCTGCAAAGCTACGCGAGTGCCAAGTGTACATCAAAGTACCTCTTCACTTGCTCCCAGGGCGGCACTTTGTACTGGTCCTTCACGCTAAGCCTGA